CAGGTTTAAGCACAAAAATCCGGAAGATATACATGAGGTACCGCATGGATTTTTGAGTGATATTAATCCATCCAGCAAAAAAGAAATTGTAGCGTACATGGACAACAGTCTAGCTGAAACAGCAAAAGTGTATGACAAATTTCAATTTGAACGTATAGGCTTTTTCTCTGTTGATCCAGATACCAAACCTAATAAGGTAAGTATAAAAGCATTAGTACACATGTACATTGCATTAACAATCTCTTTTATTTCAGCTTGTTTTTAATCGTATTGTAACATTGAAAGAAGATACAGGAAAGGTGTAAATATATATTTCAATACTATCATCAAAAATAACTGTACTACTATTTTTACTACTGTTAAGATCTGAATATAGACTTTTGTAAAAGCATAAAGTGTAAGAAAATCAACCAACCGGAATCTTTTATTTTATCATGGAAAGGACGGAAATGAAAGACTTTGATTGGTCCATTTTCTTATACATTATATGTTATGCGTTATGCAAGCTTTATACTTCTATTCTGATATGCTTTTTTTATGCTGAGACAAAATGCATGCTGTCTGTCTCTGTCTAACGGGAAAGGCGGATCCATGTGTATAAGATTTATGATTATATATGTAATATATTATTTTCAAAATTTTTGTAATATATCATCATGTGTCGATATATCTTTTTTACTATATTATATCTTTACGTTACGTATAACTTGTTACATTAAATTTTGCAAGTATTTTGATTTTGTGATAGTTACATTTCCATGAATAAACAATAAATCTATTAAAAGGATTATGGGCCTTCTACAATAAGCCGTAAGTCAGAACGTCAGAAGTCTTAACCAGTCTTAACCAAGTTGTTCAAGTTGGCTATTGGCCAATTTCATCGATTATGATTTAAGATCGCTTAGAACTTCTGACTTGCGGCTTATTGTAGAAGGCCCATTACAGTGTAATTTTCTGCCTCTATTAATTCATCATACAGGATTCGTAGGTGGGAACCATGTATTTAATATTTATAAAAGCATCTTCGCCACCGTATCTTTCCAAGATTTCAAGTGTCTCTTGTATAATGTCAGCAGCGTTCTCTCCTCTTTGCTGAGAATAATCGATACCTTCGCCAAGGTTTACTGAAATTATACATTTTATTTTCAATTGTATACGAATATAGGAAATATCAAAATACGTAAGTAAGTTACCATTTCTGTCTTTGAGTAAATTTGGAATAGGCAAGATTTGCCTAAAATACGGGACTAAAGCTTCACCAACGCAATCGGCCGATCGCACTAAACGTTGAAGTGCTTTCATCGTGGTACAGATTATCTCAGGCATTCTTGTATTCAAAGCGTCTAGCAAAGTTTTTTTAATTACAATCTATTTTTTCTACATTAAATTGGATTGTAGAACTTACTCTTAATAGGAATAATCAATTGAGGAACAACGGGCAATATCTTTGGTCCACCGTGTTCTAGCATATCTGATATTCCTTGCTCTACCAGAAATTTGTATGGTTGTTCTGTTTCCGTTAATCCATCGAAGAACATTGGCAAATAATGATGGAAATCTAAATCTTCTATGTCTACTTTCCAGTTAATTTTCTGATCGTAACCATTGTTCTCCAAAGAGATAGGGAATACACCGCGCTTGTAAAACTTTCTGAAAGTCGATGGTTTTGGTAGACGAGGTTTATACAATCCACATTGTGGCGGTTTCGCGACAATCGTGTTTTCCTGTGATCAAAAATTGATTTATTACATATACGGTATTACCGTGCACTATATTTATCTCGATCATAGTGAAAATTCCACCCTGTACTTCGATATCGTCATTTTCTCAAGTCCAACTCCAATTATAACTTGATGGGCAGAATTACTTAAATTATACTTAAAATAATATCCCTAATATACACACAGTTCGTTGTTCTTAATATTTTTTCGATATATTAAATATAATTCTATTAATCGATTGGATAAATTTTATTCGCATTTCTTAATAAAATAGATCAAGTTAATCGGAGTTGGCGGAAATGGCTCTTAACAACGTGTTACCTGTAACGCCTGAATAGTGAAGGCAGGAACTATTCGTGGCTTTCTCTTTTTGTATCGCGGTATATCTTTCCGGACCTCCGTCCAAAATTCTTTTTCATTCACCATCCTGATGCCCGATATCTTTCTTCCAATTCTAAGTTCAAATTATACGTTGAACATTTTATTCAAATGTACGTATGAAATTATATGCGCGCGAAGATGTAGGTAGGATTATAGGAAACGGATTCAGATCAAACAATATTGTCTCCTAGCAACAAAATTTCTATTGACATCTATTTCATGATATAAATATAAGACATGATGCAAGTAGACACATTTCTACTTGCATCATGGATATAAGAAAACATGACATGTATTCCATGATCTATTCAAAATATTCGCATCGTAAATACAAAGTCACTTTATAAAAGTACATAATATCTCCTTATATATGTTTATACAATCAAATATAAATTAAATATTTTATGCATAAGTGACATGATCATAAGAATTAATAATAAAATGAAAAGATATCTTTTTTTTTATCAAAGTAAATTATTTCTTTTTGTCAGTAAAGGTAAAATATTTTATTAATATTAGGTTTGCAATAGTGGACGCGGTTGTATTCGTGGAAGTCGTCTTCCAGAATGCAATGGTTTGTGAAATTGTGGATCATCAAATAAAAGTTCCTTTTTGCATGGTTCGTCTTTGTCTGCCGTATTTAATTATTAAGGAAAATAAATCTGTGCTGTATGTGCACACATGCAGATGTAGATGTGTGTATTCAGTTGTGTGTAATCTATTTTTTATGACAAATATAACAGTTAACGTTTCATATATAAAGTAATGAAAAGGATATCTGTGTAACAGCTTGAAGATTCCTGTGCCTAGTGGAACTGGAATGCCCATTATAATTGATTCCGATACGCCGCTTATAACGTCTTTTTGTCCATAATAAGCTGCATCAAATAGATGATCTGCAGTTTTCTCAAACTGTAAATAAATAACTGGTTTGCCAAAAAAATTTCCAATTCTTTTTAATACTATTCAAATTTAAAGACGAAGAACAACAATAAACTCAATTTAATAAAATAATGTAGGAAATTAGGCAAATGAGAGAGTTCGGTGCGATACTTGATGCACAATCATTAATTTATATATACATAGAATTAATGATTGTGTATCAAGTATCGCACCGAACTCTCATTTGCCTAATTTCCTATATTATTTTAATTTCGAGAGTCCATAACCAATATTTCTTATCAATTTAATAATTCTATATATTGTATTATAAAAAAAGCACGTAAAAGAATGAAACAATGAAAAATGAAAAATCTCACCGATGCCAAGTTTAAAACCGATTCTTTCATTTTTGCCAAACCTTGTCTCGTGATACCGAGTACTTCTCCTCTACTAGTCATTAAATCTGCCAAGAGCATTAAATGTCGACAATCAATACTGATACCGTGATTTTCCATTACCGACTTAATTTCTGACATGATAGTCGTTCTTGCTGCTTCTATCCCGAGCGTTTTGAAAACCTAAAATAAAACATGATTATATGTTTTATTCACTATCTCATGATTTCTTTCAACTCACTTCTATTGTATTATTCGACTTTGTCTTCTCACCGAGGATGCCACGTGTTGCCATAACTTCTCTAAAATTATCTCCTTCGACAAATAATGTAAATTTCGATTTACTACCGAGATTTTTATTATGTACAACTACTCTATTGATCGATGGTAAACCCTACAAAAAAATAAATAAATAAATAAAAATGGACATTAAATTTCTAAAACTTATAAAAATTTACATTTTATAGAGATGTATTTCATTACACATTTTTACCTTTATTATAACATTTGGAATGGCCTCTGTCAATTGACGAAATGGAAAATTTGAGTCTTTATCTTTACTTCGATTTGGTCGAATAATAATAACTGAGTCGGTCATCTTTTCTACATTCTTTGAAGTTAATTTCAATTTTGAAGTGCAGAGTCTAGAGAATCGTAAATTATTTGTTATCTTTCGAAAAGTATAATGGCAGCAAATTACTCTTAAATTTAAAGTATAACTAAAACTCCTGTTTTTTTTTATTGTACCATATTAAGTTTTGACATTAAATGAAAGAAATCAAGTGAAGTTTCTTTCTTGCGAGATACATATGTTGAAATAAATTAATAGTTGCAATGAAGAAACGAGAATCTTAAGCTTTCAAACATACTTATAGCATACGGAATTAACATCAACTTCTAATTTCAACGTTCTAATCCTATCGATATCTAATTTTATTATAAGGAAATGATCATCAGGTAAATATATTTCTTCGATATATTCAGATACATCTCCCAGGGTCGTCTTCTCAATTCTTGCCTTCACTTGCTCGGCAAACTCGGAATTTGTATCATTGATCTGCAAAATAAAGAATTAGTTGGTTAAAACCATGTTCGATTGAATATGCACGTGTTCAGAGTAATTATTCACCAATGTCGCTGTTATGATAGGAGTACTGATCTTGGGACTCGCGTTAATAATTTCTTTAATACGGGGTACTCCTTGAGTAATGTTCATAGCAGCTACACCGGCAAAATGGAATGTTTTGAGTGTCATCTGAGTCCCTGGCTCACCGATACTTTGAGCGGCAAGCGCACCTACAGCAGTGCCCGGTTCTATCTTAGCTCTCATGTACTTCTCTTTGCACGTGTGAATAAACTCTACTAATTGTGAGAGGGTGAAACGTTCAAGTTGCGAAGTCACTGGCGAATTCGATATAACGTTCTGCCGATAAAACGCTATTTTTCGCGCCACTTTCAATTTCAAGAACGAACTGCAAAAACAACGTTTAATTTGTTCAAAGCTGCGCTACAGAAGTTTGCCATATATCATATTTATCATATATTTTCTTACGTCAATTCGTCTTTGAATTCCTCACTAAGGCACTCATATTCCTTAGCGCTTAGCATTTCCTTTGTGGCATTAATTACGGTAACGTAATCTAAAGGCTTTTCGGTAATATAAGGCATTTTCGCCCTCACATGCTCGTACACTCTTTCATAATCCACGGGACAGTCTTTACCTGTAGAAAAATATGTATTATTCTTTTTACACAAAATGCACAATATGTCACATACCCTCCATGTACGTAGGGTCCAATCCATCACCGCCATACGTAGTCTGTATCATATCACACATAGAGTTGCGTACTGTCATGTCGTAATGGATACACAAATCTTCTAAACTTTTAATTAATCGTCTCTGCATGTATCCAGTCTCCGCAGTTTTTACAGCGGTATCTGTGAGACCCTCTCGACCGCCCATCGCATGAAAGTAGAATTCCTTGGACATTAATCCAGAATAAAATGAATTTTCCACAAAGCCTTTAGCATCCGGCTTTTTTGATCGTGTCAAGACATGAGGTAACGCACGATTCTCAAATCCATCCGGCACTCTACATCCGTTGATAGCTTGCTGACCTACGCAAGCTGAAGAGAGAAGTTGTATTAAATAGTATCAGAACAATTAAAAGTAGTAATATATTTATGATTATTACTTGAACGTACCGATCATTTGAGAAATGTTGATGAAACTACCTTTACTCCCACAGAGTGCCATAATTAGAGGTGTGTTAGTAGGATGCAGTTCTCTCAAACACGCTTTACCAACGTCGTCACGGATCACTGAAAGTTCATTTAATATTCTCGTTTCCAGTGTTTCCTCTTCTGAACATCCAGGCTGACAGACAAGACGACCCTGTTCCATTAACTGAATGTATTCGTTACATGTAGAGTAACTAAATAAACGAAAAAAAATTGGAATTAGTTATTTATGAAGCAGTCTATCAAATTTATAAACTTGGAATTATTCTTACTGAGTGTTTAATATTCTTTCCTTGGCTCGAAGAAGGCCTTGACTAGGTATAAGATCACCGATACCAAGAGAAATTCCTCTCTCAAAATTGAAGTGATTTGTTATTCTGGTTAAACGCCACATAGCTGCGGTTGCAACATCTTCACCCCAATCACGCAGCAGAATGTAAAATATATTTTGTTTTGATCCTGAGCCTAATACAGATTTATCCATTGTTCCTGCTAGAAGCTCGGAATTGCGAATAATAACATCTGTGGATTTAATTTGATTATTTAAGAACGTTTTGTCATTAAATGTTAACGACACGATTACAATGTACAAGTACAACTTACAAGAGTCATTAATACAAAATTCTTTTCCGTTGGTATATGTCTTGCCCCTTGCCTTTAGATTTGCTTTGACAGGGCATTCCCTATTCGGTCGTATAATGAGACTGAATATTTGTTTGCCGGTCCACAATCTCGCCGGCTTTACGATTGCAGGCGGAGGAAGAGTTACGTTCATAGAAGCATCCGAGCCAGCTAAAAGGCAAAGAGCTAATCTAGCTTGTTCTAGCTGGAGAAATGTATCCTTTTGAGTTAAGAGATAAGCACCGGTGATAAAATCTTGAGTTGCTGCTATCAATAAGTCGCCATTGCGAGGTGTAACTAGATTAGATTTATTCTATAAACACAAAACAAAATATTTCACAGCATATTTATACGCAATTTAATAATTCTATAAAAATATGTTAATCACACAGCCATTTACCGCTAATAAAACTAACGCCTCGGCTCTGGCTTCTTCAGTCTGCGGTAAGTGAAGATTCATCTCGTCGCCGTCAAAATCTATTAATGTATATTAAATCAAATAAGGGCTAAATAAGACCGATGATAATCTTAGTATCTAATAACACCAATCTGCGATAAAAAATTTTTTTAAATAGTTTTAGCTGTTTTTAATGTATTTTTTTGGATACTGAACATAAATTCGTTATCCAAATTTAGTTATCGCATCACAATTTTAAGAAAAATGGCATTAAAGAGATAAAAAACATAATTTTCAAGGTTTTCATAAATGATACTAAATAAAAAAATAATATAAAATTGACAAAATAAAATATGGTATGAACATTGTAAGGGGATATTCTGTAACACTCTGTTTTATCCAGAATTAATTTTGCCACCATATTATCATCTTCACTTTTTAATTTAGTATGAGGCAATCGTGTTATATAAAAGAACTCTACATACAATAAAGTATTAAGACCGAATAAAATGTCTTCTATGTATTACATGTGAAAAGAGCTATTTTTAAATTGTCATATCTCAAAAATGGACAATCACCAAAACCAAACAAAATGCTTTACGGTTAAAAGTTGATACTTTTGTGCATTAACAAAATTTAGAAAAAAATTTACTGCCGATGTTATAATGTAATAAAAATCCTTAAAAGCGTCATTTTCGGCAATTTTTCTAAAAAATATGACGTGGCGGAGCAATTTGATAAACGGAATTGTATTCAGTACCTAAGAACCGACGAAAAACAATTATATTCGTTCA